GCTTTATGCCTCTCATTTTGTGCAGCTTCTTCATTCATTCAAAGCTGCCCAGAGGCGGCAGAGAGGAAGCCTATGAGACATTTTGAACCACTTGTAAAGCTGCTGGTTTAGCCTCCCATTCACCTCTTTTCCCACAGCTCAGTACAAAGTGCACTTTATGCGACGTGTTCCTCCTTTCAAGCATGGAACAAAACTATCCCTCAGTACTCGTGCTGTACAGTGCCTGCTCTTATTAGAGTAGGAAGGAATAATTACAGGGATTCTGAATGTGGTACTGAATGTCAAGGCGTATTAAAGCTCTTCAATATTTCGAGGTTGAATAAAGATTCTTCCGAGGCACTGCTTTTCTGCCTGAAATTAAATTATGGCATCGAATACCTTATAAGTGGATCTACATGGTAACTAATTTTGTTGGCGTACTTAAGAAGTTACTCATCTCACCATTACCGGAATGCGTCAAAACTCTTTGTGCTCACAAGGATCAAAGAGTTTTTTATCCAACGCTGCTCCTAAGGCACAAACCCGCTGCCGTTCATCGGGAATGGAGCACACGTATCCTGCTGCAGCATGTGTCTGTGTCCTGCAGTATCACACACGCCAGGCTTCACGAAAAAGATGGATCACCCAGTGTGGGATCCTGGAGAAATCCATTGCTCAGTAATTTCTTCTTCAAGTTACTTGCCTGTAAGCATGTTTTATTTCGGGCAATGATGCCAAAGCAGTGAACTAATCCATTTAGAAACTGATCACAGTGTTTCAGGAAGATTTGAACACCTGAAACACATTCAGGCTCGTGCTAGATTCAAGGGCAATGCTTTTGTAGCATGGCTTGCTATGCTGGTAGCAGGAAAAAATAAGTTCTCATGGATAACCAAAGCAGCTTAAAGTTATGAATTTGATGTATGCGAGGCAGTTGAGAAGCTACTTTCCGGGCTGGATAGTAAAGAACCAAGCCTCAGATCTGTCAGAGGATTCAGCTAGAGCTGAACAAGTGTCATTCAGCTGTAAGGAAGCTTTAACAGCCTGGCTCCTCTTCTACCTTTAAATTCAAAAGCTGCTAAAGCTTTTAAGTAGGATCACGAAGCAAGAATGGCAGAAACAGGATTGCCATAGAGAGATTTGTGCTCCAGTTCTTTCCGTCTTCCCTGCTTTAGACGTTTATAAATGCAACTACTTTATGATTACTCAAATAATCTGAGCAGATGCAGGTTGAATCTTAACTCCCAGCACCTGGCCACGTGATTTCAAGCTGATCTTTACATCCTGGCCAGCAGAACTCCTAAACCAGATCTATTCTGCCCAGACATCTGCCTGCCTGTAAGGCCTTTAGTAAAAATAGGGCAACTGCTGACATTCAGAGCTCTGCTGGGGTGACTGATGCTACCCTAAAACTTATTTTGGCTGTTATTTTGGGAGGCGCGTGGATCAGGAAGAAGCAGTAACAAGGCAGGAATGCTCAGCTGCTTGTTGAGGATGAGGAGGAAGCGAGAGGAGAGATGGGATGAACGCTTTTGGGGTGTCAGAGAGGATCTCCCTCCCCATCTCAGGACATGCTGAATCAGTTTGACAGTGCCCGTATCCTTCTCCAATCAATATAGGGAGAGCAGAAATTAGTAGCTTCCCAAAACAGCAGTTGGATTGGTTTTCTTCAATGGCTGAAATTAGAAATATAAAACCCAATGAATTAACAAGTAAACAACCTTCTGGAGAGTATGTTTGCTGTTACCTTGCAAAAGTCTATCCATTTTGTGATTTATTGTAACAGATTTCTCCAACACCAACATTTTAGGGGCGAGACGGTCTGCTGAAAGCTGACATTTGGTATGACAGGGCTTGCACTTGATTCCAAAACGTTACCGTATATAAAGTTATCCCAATTTAATTATTCAATCCAAATTATTACCAAAGTCTGAACTGCAGGTTATTAATGAAACCACAATGCATTTTAACAACAACAACAAAAAAAGAAAATAAATATTGTAATTCTTTTTTTAAAAGCATGTTTAAGGAATAAGTGCAAGATCCTTTACTATTTATATTCAAATTAATTTACTCTCAGCAGATAATACCACAAGGAAAATACATGAGTGACAGTACAGCTTTTTAGTGCCTAACTGCATTTATCTTACCTGGTGTTGTAGGTCACTGACATCAACCCTGGGTCAAGTCTCTGCCAGCTCCAACAGGCCCCCCAACATTTCTACAACCACCATACCTTGACCAGCTGAAGAGGAAACCATATATACGTGTGTAAGTGTATATACACGCATATGTATATTTTTATATCTATGTTTTAAATGAGTCACTGTTCTGTTCCTACTTTGATAAGCTCAAACAATATTCAGGTTTCCTGCATGAGCAAAGTATCTGTTCTGAGGAAGGACCGAATGTTTGTTCATTATTTTGGTTCACTATTTGTGTTGCAGAAACTTCAGAAAAATCCCACCCACACCGAGGATTTCTTGCGCCCGTACCTGACACCCCCTTCCTTTGCTTTGGTCTGTGCTGTGGAGGTGAAAGCTGATATTTCTTCTCACCTTTTCAGAAAACTACCCTCTCACCCCAGAAAAACCCACTATCACAGACCAAGAAACTCACCACCGCTTTCCCAACCCACAGCTGCCAGCGTTAGTCAGCACTGACAGAGAACAACAACCAGGTACCTTGTCAGAAGTACAGCGTGACTCAGACTGACTTCCACAAGTCTTTCCGCACCATTAAATCTCAGTATTGTCCCAGTGTATTTAAAGTAACAGATGATTAAACACAACCTCATTTTAAGAATCAAGTTAATGAAGCGAGCCCCGTGCAATGTAAAGGCTTGTTTCACAAAGGTTTCTGGAGTCACAGTGACATTCCCCCACTATTCTGAATTAGCAGAGGTATTTACTACCCCGCCTGGCAGCTGTGGGCTGGCAGAAAACCCTCACACTGAAGTCACCTTTAATACAGAGCTAGATTAATGTAAAAACATGAAAAATAATTATTACAACCTCAATGCAGGCAACTAGCTGTAAAGTCTATAGAAACAAATATCATTTCTATAACTGGTTATAATTGCTTCTATTTCCTTCAGACACCCCTCTCAGTGTGACTTGTCCAGCCGGCTCTCAGGTACCCTCATCCTCCACGAAGAGCTGGATTTTGGGGAACCATTACTTTCTTTAGTGCTCCCAAACACATTTTGAGAAAAGAGAAAGTATTCAAACTCACATTTTCTTTCACTAATCAATAACAATTCCTACATGAAACCATGTAAGAGCCCGTTCAAAACATTCCTTCCACCCACTGTAACTGAAATAACATCAAGTCTAATTTGTACCTTTCAGAAAAGAAAATTGTGGGCTTGTTCAAGTGAAATAGTAGGAATCTGAGATTTCCTTTTTCAGCCATTCGTATGAAGGGAAGTTGAGCTTTGTCCGTTCAAAAGAACAGCTTTAAGATTGACATTTCAGCTTTAAAACAAAAAAAAAAAAAAAAAAGGAAAAAATAGACATTGTAGAGTGTTCCCAAAATATAAGGTCTTCCACTGCTACCAACTACTACAGCTCTTCCATTCATCCAGGTTTCTCTGCATCAGAGACTACATTTGTGAGGGAAAGAATCCTGGAACAAAAAGCAGGATCACAGCCCTGGCCATACAGAACAGAACTTGTCACTCAGGGAAAATCCTCAGTAGAAGCCCCTGGGACACCATCCGAGGGAGGTCTAGGAGAACTGGTTGATATTCAAGAACCATCCCCTCCAGACTCAAGAACGGTCCATCCCAACACACAGGAAATCAAGCAGAGACGGCAGGAGGCCTGAGGCACGAACACAGAGCTCTTGACTAGAGATGAAAAGGAAGCACACGAGAGGTGGAAGAAAGAACAGGGCAACCAGGATTATAGAGGCACTATCCAAGCACACACAGAGAGGGTTTGGAAAGCCAAAGACCAAGTGGAATCTGGAAAGGGTGGTGAAGGGCAACAAGAAAAGCTTTAGAAGACGTGTCAGCAGCAGCAGGAAGACTAGGGAGAAAGAGGCCACCACAGAAGAGTGGGGCAGAGCTGGTGACAGAAAAACATCTGAGGTACTCACGGAGGCCTTCAGGAATCCCAGGCCCCTGAGCACAGAACATTGCCTCAATTTCCAGGCTCCAAGGGCTCTGACCAGTGGCACAAAGCCCAGCTGGAGACCTGGCCGTACTGGTGTGCACCAGAGGTCAATACCTGGGCCAGGACAGTTGAACATCTTCATTAACAAAGACAGGTGATGGGACAGAGCTCACCCTCAGCATCTTTGCAGATATCACAACACCAGGAGGAGAGGTCAACAGCCCAGAGGGGTGGCTGCCATTGACAGGGACACCAACAGGCAGGAGACATGAGCTGACACATGAATCTCGGGAAATTTACAGGGAAAGGCCAAGTCCTGCCCCTGGGGACAAACCACCCCAGGCACCAGAGAGCCGGAAAACAGCTTTGTAGATAAAGCCCTGGGGGATCTTCACAAAAAAGGGGAACATGAACCACTCTTGCATCAGAGGTTGCCACCAACCACCAGCCGGTCACATACACAGTGAAGGCTGCTGGACAGGAGACCTAACAATAGACACATTGCAGATAACAGCCGCGTATCAACCTCTGTTATACCAAGACCATCAGAGCTACCCAGTTGTCCAGACAGTGCCACGTTGCTGACAGGACAGTTGTCTACTTCTGCCATCAACTAGTTTATAACTCACCTGGTTGAACTCCCCTCTCACCCACCAGTCAGGGTTCCTCAGACAAGCAGTTCAGGCACCATGTCTTGCCCAACCAGGCTGCGCTGGCAGAGCCCACGCTCTGTAAAATGGGTATTCAGCATATTTTAAGTAACATCATCAACCTTACTGTGACTTACAGACGTGTAAAATGGAAACCAAACGAGTATATTTCTATCTAATGTGTATTTCAACAAAGCCAGTAAAGAAGGGGCAAAATTTTCTACTGTACAAACTATTTACAAAAGCACACAACTTCCAAAAAAACCCAGTTTATTTTACTGCTCAAATTATCGAACACTAAACAAGACAATACATTAGGAATGTAAAGTTCTCATGTACAATTAAGAAAACACTCCACTGTAAAAAAAAAAAAAGGTGAAATACTGTGTCACTAACACAGAACAGCGTCACACAACAAACTGAAGGATATGAGTGGCACACACTCCTTTACACTAGGATCCTCGGGAGAAGACAATCTACAGACCGATTCCAGAGGCTTTGGTGAATATTAAGAAACGTAGACATCTAGTCTTAGAATTGTACAAATACAAAAGGCAATATATTACACAGCTATATACAGCACTGTAAGCCTCAAACACTGCCAAAAGGTATCAGACACAGTAATTAAGTTAGAAAATTCTAGAATCCTCATAGAAATCAGAAGAGACCTCCTTAGAGAGAAGTGTGGCTAGAACAGCCATGGGTTTCTGTACCTGCCAAACCTGTCAGGTATTATTCAAGGCAATTCAAGGACATTTCACTCCTTTCAGAAAAGCCATCACAGCTCCACAGCAAGGGGTTAGAGGCCATATGCTTTTTGCACAAGTGTTACATATTCCCACAACAATAATAATAATTCTCAGTTTTAACAGTTTGGAAAGCGCTGCTGTTCAAAGCCATCACCGGAAACAGTGCCCTTTGATTTAAAGCAGTAAGGTCAGTTATAAACGTCAGCATTAAAACAACATCTCTTACTATAATTTGAGATGATTCACTCCTAGAGAACATTTTTCCTGCAGAACATTGTGGCCGTGTATGATGTTTGGAGTGTATTCATCAGAACTACCCACGCCCGGGTAGAGTACAATATGGGATGTCTTTATAGGTTTTCCTTACACTGTTAGAAGAAATATACATTTTTCATTCATCAGTCTGAAGTGATCAGTTAATGCTCAAAGCCCAAGAGCTTGACAATTTTAGAAATATCATGGAAGAATATATCTGCTTCCTGCCACACTCCCCCCTCACTCCTCCTTCCCTGATCCTGCACCGTGGATATTTGGACAACAACTAGTTCTGCCCTCCCTCTCCCTTATCCTGCATTTTTTTTCTTTCCCATTTTTAACATAAGAAAGAAAAACAACTGAAAGTTTTATTACTCATATTAGGGAAGAAATTCTTTAGACTCCATCAGTATCAAGGTGTGATGTCAGTTCCCAAAAACATGCTCATTGTGTAAATTACTCCAGAGAACAATACACAGATATTTATATGAAGCTGTGGCTTCATATAGAAACAGCAGCCTTTAGTACCAAGAACCTTTCTTTTTAGAATTTTCCTCAAAAAAGTATGAAGCTTTATGTAATTTCAGTTGTACCAATATGCACCTATGTCCTGGGTTCAAGCCAGACCACAGTTAGAATAATTAGCTAGATAAAATAAAAGGATAAACTAACTTTATTTTAACACTGTTTAACTGGTAGCCAACACTATTGTAAACATTACATTTCAGATCTACATTTTATGGCATTTTAGATCCATCAAAATCCTAATTATTTATAGCTACAGTGACTAATTCTTCCCAGTACAAAAACCATCTTTTATACCAACACCCAGCTTGGAAGAGTGTCCACTGGGGAGATAAGTGAAACAATCATGAACTAAATGAAACAAAACCAAACCAGTAGAATTACTTAAAAATTTTAGTCCCTTAACACTTACTCATGACTAACACCATCACAACCAACCTCTGTCAACTGCAATTTTATTTATCTATTCTAGTTTAGGTTTCAATTTAAATTACTGGAAAGTGTTTCCAAAGTATTGTTAAAGGCTACACTGCAAGAGCAGACGAGGAGGCAGCTCTGAGTTCTGCAGGTTATTTCCTCATAACATCTAAAACACGTTTCAAGGAAAGGCAGAGCCCTGCGTTGGGTCTGTGCAGTGCCCCCCGTCTCTGTTCTCACCTGCCTAAAGCCCTTCCAGTCCCTGTGCTTGTGGACCCTCCAGCAGCCACGTGGATTAGTCAGTCTCAAACAAATACGCTCTCTAATGTGCATTGCAGAAAAACCTGCCAAAAAAGAGGGAAAATTTTCTACTGTACAAAGTATTTACAAAAACATACAACTTCAAAAGCCAGTATATTTCACTGGCCAAAGTATTAAACACTAAACAGGACAAATATGTAGTTTATACATTAGGAATGTAAGTTTTCATGTACAATTAAGAAAGCACTCCACTGTAAAAAGGTGAAATACTGTGTTACCAGAATAGAAGTGTTACACAACAGACAAGGAGGAGGACGTGCAGCACGTTCATTTACACTCGGGCTCCCTGGTGAAGACAAACACCTCTAGACCAATGCAGCTATTCCATATCCTTTGGTGAACATCAAGAAACATACACATCTAGTCTGCAGTCTTAGGAGTAGAATTATACAACTTTATTGTCCCTGACAACTATGTCTCCTCATCTCTTTTCATTAATTTACCTGCTTATTAATTGCTGTAAACCTGAATAATATTAGCTGCTTAAAAATTACTTGTGCTTCAGTTTAAGTCAAAAAGGAATATATAAACTTGTCTCCAGGAAAACAGGAAAGTCCACCAGAATTTTAGTGTTTGTTTTGTTCAAAGGTTCTTGATAACAAGGGATCACTAACTGCAGAAATCTGGACAGTTAGGAATGATTATGCCTTAGATCTTCGTCTTATTTCTCCACTCATAACAATATATTGTGTGTTTATCAGCTAGTCACTGCTGCTGGAGTGGTTTTGTCAGCTATGGCTTCTCCAAATTTCTGCATAAGAAATTTGAATGTCCACTTTTAATTAAAATCTTAACATTATAAAAGTTGGCATCAAACAAGATCACCAAATGAACTGAACGTTAAAGGCTAGGAAACCTTGACCAGGCTGCTGTTCTAGAATTTCAAACTAGAAAAATTATATAAAAGACTAGGAATTACAGTGTTTGTTATATTTACATTATAAATTTCCCTTTGTGCTTGCAAGTTACTGAAAGTACACATCCTTTGGTAGTATTCTCTTAGTCTCAAGAAGTTCGTGTTAAACACATTCACACTCCTGATTTGCTTGACTCAGTTCAAAGGGCTCATACCTTATTTCCTACACAACATTGTTACAGAAGCACCACATCTCTTCCCCGTAAATAGTAAAAATACTGATGACAGTGACTTTTCAATGAGTACCTTTGTGCCTGATGTTTAAGAACCTGAAAGAAAGAGTGTGTCACACAATTTGAAAGTCCAAAGACTCCCATCCACAAGCACTGCTGCTGTAGGACTTTTGAGCCAGTTCCAGAGACATACAGACAACCCAAAATGCATCTATAATTCAGACTCATCCAGGCATAGAGAAGTATGAACATCACAACGTGTACTGACTGCTGTTACAAAAACTGCCATAACATCAAACACTGAACTGATGCCTCTAGTTTTAGCCTCACAAGTTTCTCACGGATAACATAAGAGAATGTTTATGTTCTTACAACACTTTTCCAGAACTCCATGCCCATACTGTGAGACTCCTCTTAAATCAAACAAGTACTTGCAGCTCTGCCTGTGCCAAGTGGTAGTAAGAAAGCAGAACCTGGGCCAGAGGCTCTGTTTGTTCCCATACTGTGCCCTTTTAAAAGCCACACACCGCTTGTTAAAGTGGTGAAGCTGTAACCTTCACATGAAGGAAGCCATAAGCAATCGGGTGTAGAAATACAGTAAGTCAAAGAGGAACTTTCCAAGCTATTAGAAGTTGATGCAAAATAATTATAAGTGGTGTCTATTCACTATTACTGTCAAATGTGAGCCAAATGAGAATGTACGGGCTGGAGGTTTAAGAAAGTAACGTATGGCATATTAAGGAGCTTAATGTACCAATATCACCATAAATGCTCGACATTTTTCATACTTGCCCATTTAACATCAATCTGTTGACAGAGTTATGCTAATACTAGGAGGTCGCTGCTGATTAGGTTGTTTGCTTAAAATCGGAAGATCTGTTCTTTCCGTTCCATATATCAGTTTTTCCTCCTGAAGACTGCAAGCTGAAAACCTGTTTGCCTCTGTGCCAGACACGCCACTGCGATTATTTGGAACGGTGACACCACTGACCTGTTCAAAGGATTTACTAAAGACAGTAGTGGTCGTTCTGGCCAGACTGTGGCTGCCAGGCTTCGGCAGGGACTGGCTAGTTGTCAGCGTCAGTCTCTTCAGAGAGACAAGCTCTAGATTCTCACTCATGGCTCTCTGAGTCTGTTTTCGTGACAAGTGTTCTCTGCAGGTTTCTCCTTCTTTTTCTTTTCCTCCTGTTTTGCTTCCTCCAGACCTTCGCTGGCTCTTCCCTGAAAGGTTCTTGCTGCTCGTGTTGCTGCTGTTAGACAGGGCAGACTGACTGGTACTAGAAGTAGCCCTGGAGTAAAACCCTTCATCGTTTTCAGATACTTCTATCAGTTCTTCTTGAATTGCTAAATCAGTATTACCTGCTCGGTAGAAAAAGAAAGAAAGAATTAGCAATTGACTTTCTCACATTTATTGATTTTGTGTACTGCTAGATTTTGGGATTTGCAAGCATGAAGCCATACAGCAGCAGAACAGAGGAGAGAAGACAAAACACTTACCTATTCATTACATCTTGGAATTAAGGTTCATTAGGATATAGAGTTACATTAACTAGATCAAATCGCATGCCCACAATCTCATTTTGCAGTGATTTGGGAAAAAAAAATGCAGTCTTGTTAATTCATGCAGGAGATTAGAAATATATAGATTAGAATTTACCACACAGAACAAAAAATTATAAATCTTATTTTGAGCAAGTGCTCCCATACATGATTTTTCAAAGCTCATTAATTATGATGATCAATGTCCCAGGACACCCAATATGGCACCTCCATGTTCAGCAACCCAAGAATGCTTCAGGACTGAAAGGTCACCTTCTGCATCACAGGTCTGGTGGTACGAGCTGGAAACTCAGGCACGATATGAGATCCAGAACACCATGAAAGGTGGAATTTGGGAAATCTGAGGTACTTTTCACATCCATTTTAATGGATTCTTTACACAATTGGATCAATGGATTTTGTAAACCAAATAAATATGCTTAATAAACTCAAAGGTACGTTGAGTCTCACAGTGTATTTTCTCCAGATTAAAGAAATCTACTTGTAAGTTTGTTGTCACTGTCTGTGGCACAGACGAAGCTGTGTGCAATACATGCATTTGTGTTATTACACATGCAAATAGATTAACTGCATACTTTAATTCTCCAAACATGCAGCAGTGACCCTTTCAATCAGCGGTACCTTAGAGTGCAGCTACAAGTGCTCTGCTAAAACTGCACTCTGCCAGATGAGTTTATTCCATCCTCCATCATTTTTCTTACAGATTTTTGCCTCCTGATTTCTGGCATGCCTTTGCTGTCAGTTCTAGGGTCTGTAGCTGTTTCCTGTACTCCCTGTAAATGCTGAACATCATTCTCTGCTAGTGCTCTGCTCTTTTCCCCATTCCCGGTCCTCTCTCCAGCCACACTTGTGACACTAATCTCAGGTATGATAAAGTTGCCCAATTCAGTAGCGTCATTACCATTCTCTGGTTGTTCTAGAATTAAAGATGGATAAGAAAAAAAAAAACCAAAAATGTTTGAAACAAAACATGGAACAAAAGCCAACAGATACAGATGACTAAAGCATTATGAATTAAAGCGGATGTTCACATATTAACCTCTTGTTAATTAGCAACATTAGTGAGTATGGAATTTTGATTTATTTCTAAATCGCACGCTTCAATCTTCCAATTACCAGCCACACCCACGCACTAGAAAGCCTCATGCTTGAGGTTTCAAAATTGAAATTTCTGAGGGTCATGAAACAAGCATTCTGAGACTATCGGAAATCAAAGAAGTCTCCACAATTCACTTTTTTTATTATATTCTCTGTATCACCATGCTGAAGTGAAACTTATTTTTACAATTAAATGGCACATCTACTACACGTGTTATCAGATAAGACTAGAATGTCATGATGCTGCACAGTGGTCACCCTGAGAACTAACAGTGAAACGATTAAGCCAACTCAAACACGCTTTGACTTCCATTTTCTTTCTGCATTGCAAAAAAATATTTTCAACCAGAAAGATGTAACAGTGAAACGATTAAGCCAACTCAAACATGCTTTGACTTCCATTTTCTTTCTGCACTGCAAAAAATATTTTCAATCAGAAAGATATTTACAAATAGGAAAATTCTCCAGTTACTAAAAATCAACCTATTCAGATAAAACCTATGTTGATCTCCTCAGCTTTTTAAAAATCAACCTATTCAGATAAAACCTATGGAGTTTTACTGCAGTTTTTGCCACATACTAATAACATAACATAAATGTTGATCTCCTCAGCCTTCTTAAGATCCTTATATGAGCTTACAAATAAATTATTTTGCAATAAACTTGTGTCACACAAGTCAGTTACTAAGTAACTGAGAAAACAGGGGGGACAGAAAGCACCACAACTTTCTGCAGCACTTGGAGGGGTGCCCCATCCCTGGAGATGTTCAAGGCCAGGCTGGATGGGGCTTGGAGCAGCCTGGTCTGGTGGGAGGTGTCCCTGCCCAGGGCGGAAATCAGTGATCTTTAAGGTCCCTCCCAACCTGAACCATTCTATGACATCATTGCCCCTGGTGTAAGAGTCACCCCTGATTTTACTTGCAAATGCAAAGTATCATGATTCTTTCTAACTAATCAACTACTAACGAAAGTATCTATTTAACAAGTTGCATTATCCAAAGGCAAGGGGATCAATAATCACTGCTATTAGCTAGTGACTTCCTGATATTTGCTAGGAAACTCAATTAGAACTGTTTCCAAGTGTTAGGGGATCAATAATCACTGCTATTAGCTAGTAACTTCCTGATATTTGCTAGGAAACTCAACTGTTTCCAAGTGTCACTCCTTCTAACAGCACTTTCTACAGAAGTCTTCTGTCATCAGTGACAAAGGTAACAACAGGGCACCGTGAACTGCTATAATAATAATTAATAATACCATCACCAAGTATAGCCTTTTTTCTAAAAGCATAGGAGCAGAAAGGTTAGTGAGGAGAGAAGATCAATGCTCTGATTGGCCTCATAGGACTATTTTTACTGTGGTGAGGTACCCGTGCCTCTGCTATGCCCATCTTCAAGCTCCTTCCTGCCACCCTGCCAGTGCAGGCACCTACAGGCACCTTATTTCAGCAGAACTTCTTCCCAGGGAGCTCCACGTGCACAAGTCAACTCTGCTAAAAACTTCATTTTGAGTCAGGACACCGGAAAGGAGAGGGCAGAAGAGAGCTCATTGTCAGTCCCTTCTCCACCAAGGGCAGCAAAGCACTAATTAACAGCGTCCAGCTCCAAAGGAAGGAAACTTAGAGTGCACAGCAAAAATTGGGGGAATATTTTTTTTGTTATAGATTTTGTGTAACAGTGATATTTAGTTATTGTTGTTTGGTGGTTTGCATTTCTAAATGTAATATCCACTGGTGTATCAGCACTTTACTCATCACTGCTGCATTCCCATAGCTGTGTAACCATCACCACACTGAACTGGCGAAAAAACCCACAAAAAAATTAAGTCTTATTCAGCATAATTACATCTAATCTTTCAGTTAAGTGCTATCTTAACTAAAGATATGCTTAACTACTTCTAATAAAATGGAATATACCTTTCTCCAAGTTTAACATCATGCTACAGGAGGGAATTAATAAAAAAATGGGCTACAGGCTATCTCAATTCCTACTAACACTGTCTACCATAGCATCTCCAGTCTCATGGCAGAGATAAGACTCCACAACCCATGCCCTTCACAGTAGCATCCCTTCCCTATTTTAAAACTTCTAACACCTAAAACAAACCTTGAACTTCATAGTGTGTGGTTTTGAAGATGACACTGCTTCAAGCTGGACAACTCTGGAGGTCTATCCTTTGAGAAAGAGATATTAATACCCAGTGCACAAGGCAATGTAGCAGAAGAAAAAGCTACTAAATGGTGTAGACAAAACTGAATAATTACGTCAATCTGAAAGTTCATATAAATACGCCCACAGCAGTTGAAGGAAAATGCCGTTGGAGTCACATTTCTGAATGCTTTGAGTAGTACAACCAACCTTGATAAATGCATTTCGTGATTACTAGCTACTAATAATTAATTCAAAAGATATTTCAATCGCAGTCTACCTTATTATTATGGCTCCCTACATCATTTACCTCAGATTGCACGGAGAAACTGCCCATTTGGATTGTAATTCAATTTTAACCACCACAAGCTCAAGCTGCATTTCCTGCACAACAAGGTTAGCATTTTGAATTATTCACAAAAACATCAATCTTTTATACCAAAATTAACACTAATTCCAGATTCCTAAAAGTTATAACTATTGCGGGAATTTAATACCATTTCAGCAAAAGTAAGAAAATTCTCTCCACAGAGATTCAAAGACTAATATTAGTCTCTAAACCTCAGGTATTACTTGAAAGTCGGGGATGGGGGATGGGGAAATGGGGAAAAAAATAACATCTTGTCCTTGTTCTCTAGTTGATGACTGTTTTTGTGTTATGTATCTCACCAACATCTGCTTTAGCTCTTCTTGCTGAGTCTGTTATTTCTGAGTATTTCCCTTCCATGCATTACCTCTACACAGGAGTTTTTCCTGAGCAACTCTCACACAGGGCAGTTTGGCAGCTTTTACATTAATAAGGAATGCATTGCTAGGGCTTGTTTTGGGTTTTTTTCCTCGCTTCCACAAATAACCATTTGAGTGTTTATGTCCCTTAGACACTGTATGATTTTTCTGGTTTTCCCCTATTTGTGAATGGAAATGGAGATGTCACTCAAGGCTTGTTTTTAAAATGCTAATACTACAAAAAACCTAACACTAGATAGAGGAGTTAATGCTCCTCTTTTTAAAGCTTTAGTATTTATAGGCAATGAAATTCAAAGGCACTAAATAATTTGTTGATAAGTGGTGGCTAATACCAACTGACTCTGTAAATACTATGCATTTGTGATTAGATGGATCCATCTTGCAAATTACTTTCACCTTTAGTATCTCTAAAATACCTACCTTAAAAGTTCAAATTCACATTACCAATTGTATTTTGAAAAAAAAGTCCTTTAAGTAACAGCTCTAACAAATGAGTTACAGGGTTGAGTATCACAACAAGATTAAATGTTAAGTTGTAAAAAGTTAAGTTCAAAACCAATCTAGAGTTCTAGCAAAGGCTAGCAAGATCTAACATCTGAGAACTTTTACAGTAAGCCACATTTTTTTTAAAAGATAAAAAAAAATAAAGCCCATGCTTTTCAGCCGGAAGTGTGATTGGCTGTAACTCTTATTTTATTCACTTTACAGAAATAGCTAGTGACTGAAAATTGCTGCCCTTGCCTCCCCTCCCCAAGGGACACATTGCTTCATCAGGTCTTCTGGTTCACGCAATGTATAAGGTCAAACTACCTCTCAGCTGTCTCCTCTGGCTTCCTAATCCATTTGTACAACTCATTTTTATTACACCAAAGCACAAAAATAAAAACCCTGAATACATTTTTTCCCCTTACACTGTGGGAGAGAGAGTAACGGTCAGGAGGTATAAGGCTTTTCATCTCATTACCCCATCAATTCCAGTATTTATTTTAATTCGAAGCAGCATCTGTAAGCACAAGCCCCGTTATTCTTTCTGCCTGCTGACCCTGAAGATCTAGTCCATATCTTTCTTTCATCAGGACCTGCAGGGCACTGAATTTTGTTATTAGGAATTTTGAAATCAGGAGAAAATCCACTCTGACTTCAAAAAGGCTTTTCAAGTCACAAACAATAATTTTGTTAGTATTTTATAACACAATTTTTGAGGAGATGAGCTGGTGTGCTATACGCACGCAACATTTACCATTTAAAAATAACAACAACAATTGGACAGTCAATTAGTCAAAGATACCAAGTCTGGCCTTTAAACTAGCCTCATAGTGACAAAGCCTTCAAATTTACAACTACTCCCACAACCTGCTATGCAAGTTCCCCTCCACCCCTGCACCCCTACACCAAGTGATTTTATTCCCCTTCATTAAATCCTGTACCATTGAGGCAAATTCAAAGTTTTCCCAATAACATAACAAGTCCTTGGTCTTTCAATGCTCATCCCTAAACACTGACTACTCCTCACTTGGGTGATACGAACTAATTTATCGCTGTTTCCCTCCCCTTGCCTGGCTTTAGGAGACTCCATTAGAACACAGCATCCCTCCCCCCATATTCTGAGTCCTACTATTACTCTCATTTCCCTTTCACTTTACTGTTATCTGCTTCAGGGCACTTCTCCCACCATAACCATAAACACCTGAATGAAGTTTCATCGAACTTCACCAGCATCACCCCCTGCAAGAAGGCAATAATTGCAAAAACATCTAGACTTCTATATTTGCTGAAAAAAATACATTCTTACATAGTTCCAACACTGATTCTTTAAAATTATTTCATTTTTTTCTGAAAATGCAAAGACAAAGGGAATGTTTATTTTAATATACTTTCAATGAATGAAATGGAACTCAATATTCTTGATTTGTGTTCCCCTCCACCACCTCATTTGAAAAAGCATGAGAACCACTCAAAAAGGATAGCTGACAAAATTGCCAAGCTTCAGAGAGCATCTGTCCATTTAAAAGCTGCGCTATTGGACAGTTTTCTAGCACCTGGTCAATTATCCCTGCTAAACAACTGTAAACCTGAAGAAAATAAATAATAAAGACTAAAATGGTCCTTAGCTGTCTTGAAATTTCAGTAATTACTTGCAACTGGACCTCGCCCAAGTTAAATACAATAATGTTTTGCTCTTCAGTTTTGTCTGACAGTTTTAAGCAGTTTTTAGTCAATTGAAAGGAAATTAAGTTATTTTACCTTTCCTTCCCCCTTGCCCCTTATGGCAGATTACTATTGGTACTACTACCACCAATGTGTATTGTTACTGCTAAAAAACCTCTACCATTATTTTGAAGTCATCTTCTACCAGCATATTTATAAATTAATTTTCTCACTTACCTGAATTACCTCTCAGTCCTTTATAAGTAACTTGACAATACTCTCCTAACCAAAGTGTCCACATACTACAAACGCTCATACAGTGCACATCATACAGAAATGTTTATGATACTACTTTATCATTCTTATCTACACTCACACAGTCTGTCATCAGAATTACAAACTCAGCAGAACAAACCATTGACAGTTTTCATCGCTGGTCCAGTGGCTCTTCCCTCATCTGGAGATTGTAGAAGTGGAATATGATGTTTCTCCTTTTGCAGAACATTCAGCACCTTTTTTGCTACTTCTCAGCCCAGACCTGTGTTCTACTTTGTGGAAGCCCTTATATTAGTTTGCCCAAATGTGCTGGTTTTGGCTGGGATAGAGTTAAATTTCTTCGTAGTAGCTAGTATGGGGTTATGTTTTGGATTTGTTCTGAAAACAGTGTTGATAATAGACAGACATTTTCGTCTGAGCAGGGCTTACACAGCATCAAGGCCTTTTCTGCTTTTCACACTGTCCCACCACCAAGTAGGCTGTGGGGCACAAGAAGTTGGGAGGGGACACAGCTGGGATAGCTGACCCAAATCAACCAAGGGGGTATTCTATACCCTATGACCTTGTGCTCAGCAATAAAAACTGGGGGAAGAAGTAGGAGGGAGACGTTGGGAGTTATGGCGTTCGTCTTCTCATGTAACTGTTAGGCGTGATGGAGCCCTGCTCTCCTGGAGATGGCTGAACACCTGCCTGCCCAGGGGAAGCAGAGAATGAATTCCTTGTTTTGCTTTACCTATTAAACTGTCTTTGTCTCAAAACACAAGCTTTGTCAATTGTACTGTTCCGATTCTCCCCTCCAGCCCACCACGGGGGAGTGAGCGAATGGCTGTGTGGTGCTTAGTTGCTGGCTGGAGTTAAACCACGACACCAAAAAAATTATAATTTATTCCTCTACCATTAAATCCAATTTTTAAGTCATTTAAGACAGATGAGGTTCTGTGGTAAAGTTGTTAAGTATTTCCTTAGCTTCAGGTACTGCTTTTCAGAAGAAAACAGGAACATCAGCCTCTTTAAAGAATCAATAACTTTGTGCAGCTCCCTTTAACCAAAGGGAGTTTTGTGGGTGGTTTGTTTTGTTGTTTTGGTTTTTTTTAAACACAATCAGGGAAATAAAGAATATACTTCATCTGAACTGCATTAAGATTCCCATTCACCAGTTAAGAAAATAAAAACCTCCAAACTGCTACTTGCTTACTAGCAATGAAGATGTGCAATAACAAAATTCTCAATTTTATTTTAAACACGTGCAAAAAGCTGAGAATTTATTGAAAAATGTACTTCTTACCATGCCTTTTCCATCTATGCCCTCGGATAGACATGCTAGTCACAGCATTTCTTGATATTCTGGATGAAGTAGGTGTAATTTCAACCTGAATGCATCTTGTACCTTCTTTACTAGATTTCATGGCACCCTGAGGCAGTGAAGCTTTTATTGCATTAGCAACCTAGAACAGGAAAAGATACAGTTAAGTTCTTAACATGGAGATCCAAATTTTAGAAGAAAAATTCTGCCAGGGGATTCTTATTACTTCAAAAAGAATACTCTGTACAATTTCCAGCTTAAGGTCCAAAAGCACATTAGCTTTTTGCTTGGGTTATAAAGAAGGCTGGTTGCAATTACCTCAGAACTAAGTTACATTTAATACCCACCACTTTTTAAAACAAAGTTTCCAGTTTAAAGATGTGGCTATGACTTAACACGAACTTCTGAGTGCGTCTGCACTATCATCTAAGCTTTCAAGAGTAAGAAGAATTCTACTGAAAATAGTTTGTTCACTAGGAAAGATGACAAATTATACTGAAAAATACCGTGTGCACGTGTGCATACTTGCAGATCTAGCTATTCACACGAGCACAGCCACATAGATCTCATGGGATTTAGGTTCCTCGTGTGAAGTCGCATCATGTACATTCATAGGAAGAATTTTACTAGACTAAAAATTCTACTCAAAAAAAAAAAAAGTTGAAATACAACACCTACCAGGAGAGGTTCTGGATAGAGTTCCAGTTGTGCTCTATACAAAATGTCATCCATAGCTTTACGAGCCAGATCCCATTCTCCATTATAACTACAAAGGTAAATATATACATAATAATAAGCATCTATATCAACAGATGAACCTTCTTGGTCACATAACCATCACAGATTTAACATTCCATGAGAGCTCAGTTTAGAGGTCTTGAACTACTTGCATTCATTAGCAGTAAAAGTCTACTATTTAGAAAACTTGTTCTGAAGTAGCATCTATGGAAACAAGGTTTTATTTTCATTGTCCTCCCTGAACAGTTTAAAAAATGACCTAATTACCAATCAGCTAGTCATTAAATATTCTGAAATTCAAACAGGATTGTTTTAATATTACTCCATCTTTTGATTATTCCTATGTTACTAGTCTCTATTTTGGTTAGTAAGAGAGCTTTGTGCATTAACATGACTATCAAAGAGTAAATGACATCAGCATTTCAGAGAGAGAACAATAAGACCTTTTTTCCTTAACTAGACTGATGTCAAAACTAAGCACGCAAAACTGCGGACAGCAGACACCAGTTGGAAATAGTTTTTATAAAAGATTTTTTCACATCTGCAATTATATCTGTGCTGTTCTATCCCTCTTTCCCTAGCATAACTTCAGCTAGCTAGTTGGAGAACTATGTTCTCTTCCTGAGGGCCTTATTCCTAGACACACCATCTGCCCACTAAAAAATAAAACATTTCAAAGGTTGCATGCCTGAGTAAGAGTAGAAATTAATCTGACATTTCTTTATTTTGTATGCATATAAAAAAAAAGCCAACTTACAAGGCATAATAGATCCCTGTTAGCATTTGCACCATGAATTCAGATGAAACTGGAATCCTGCTGTTGACTCCCTTGTACTTTCTCACTTGTTGGCGAGGGTATCCACAGACACAAATTCTAAAGAAATCATGAATTTGTCATTAGCAAATAACATAGAACACATTTGTACAGAACCCTACAAAGTTAGGTGTCTAGTACACATTTAAACTACAACAGTCCCACAGAAGGTATCCACCAACAACCCTGTGCTGAAGCAAGCTATTTCTTATTCTGGAAGAAGGGCATGCCCTCTACTGGCAGAGTTCAAATCCTTCAAAATAGAGACACCCTAAAAACTCATGTCACATTTTGATACTACATTGGAACATGATGGAAAATTGCCTGTAAAAGTCATTCTGAATCCACCCATTTGCTGCAGAACTGACAAAAAACAAGTTAATGGTGTTTAAGGAAATAAAGCAACACTGCAACTATTAATACTACAGACAGAAGTGTGCCATTGCATATAATATAGGCAAATTTTTAAGCAAAGAGACCAACGTGTCACATTTATAAAAGCTGTTCTAAAATCCAGTAAAAGACAGCCTTAGAATTTTGTTCTGAACTAAACTCCACACCAGGTTCTGTGGTCAAAACATTTTAGAAATTAAAGATATTGGATAGTTAAATATTCAATTCATTGGCTGTTACTGAACTTCTGGAATAACCTTCAATGACAATAATCAAAGTATTTCCTTCTCCAAACCACACGCTAGAAGGTTTAGTCTCAGAAAGTTTCAATACTAGAGAGCTTGTAAAACTTCTCTTAAACCTATTTTTTTCCAGAAAAAAAAAAAGTTAAGATTGTATTGTAGTACCTTTCAAGTTCCATCTGTAATAGAGATTCCAGGAGCTTTTTTTTTTTTATTAATACTAACTTCACCACTAACCTACTGTACTTTTTTCCTCTCCTCTATCCCACAACTCATCTTCTCCTTTGGCTACTTAAAAAAAACCCCACAACAAAAAAGCAGACGGCACCCCCAAGATCTCTGTAGTTCAGCAACTCTCTCAGCACACACTAAATCTGACTTTCATGCTGATATCGCCATATCTTCAAATAATAACAACAAAAACATTTTAAACACTTCATCAGGAAAGACAGGAAGCCATGCTAGTGACAACATTCAAGAAAAAAAAAAAACATTATGAGATGTTTATAAAGGAAGAATTATAGGATGGTCTGGTTGGGTCAGAAGGGACCTTTAAAGATCATTTATTTCTACTCGCTGTGCCATGGGCAGGGACATCTCCCATCAGACCAGGTTGCTCAAAGCCCCATCCAGCCTGGCCTTGAACCCCTCCAGGGATGGGGCAGCCACAGCTTCTCTGGGCAACACGTTCCAGTGTCTCACCACCTTCACAGTAAAGAACTTCTTCTTTATGTCCAATCTAAATCAATTCTCTTTCAGTTTAATTTTTAGAAAACAGAATGGAAATAAATTTTTATCTTAAAAATACATACAGTTCACCTGCAAAGTATACACACAGCTAGCTAAAACAAAAGTCTTACTTCCAGTTAAATGAGACTCTTCTGTTAAATATATATAAGATGCCGGAACCAAATGAGTTCATTCTCTCATATTTCTTTTTGTCCACACATGGTAAAAGTTAAAGCACCAAAGCTGTTTTTCTGACTTTTACCTTAGTCCTGAATCACATGAGCCAGTTACTGGAATGAACTAGGTTGAATAACTCCCCCATAAGAATCCCATCCCATTTTCCTCCTCTTTATCCCCCAAAAGAGGCTATTATTATGTAGCTTGAGCAACACTTTAGTTCCAGATAGTCCATAATTTCTACCAATGGTTTGGCCCAAAGATGCCATTTATTATCCACTGAAATAATAGGCGTTTCAGTGTTGTGTAAAGCCTGGGGGGTGGAGTCAGCAGCAAGTAAGTGTCCAGTTTAAACAAAAATGCTAGTTTACATAAAAACCATTTAACCAGTTCATTTTTAGGCCAATGTATATATCTATGCATTTACTAGATGCTATTGTACAAGGGTACAGTAAGTATTTTTTGGGGAAAACAGTGAACTCACAGTAGAAATGTGATCAGTTGACACTGACAGTTATATAGAAAAGACCTTAATACAGACACTCTATAAATGCCAGTATTGATTAGTTTTAAAAAGCCCTACTGTAATCTGAGTGAGTTACTCTAAAATGGCTAGAATGACATCAGCAGAACTGCTTTGTGAAAAGAGACTTAGTAACTGAAGATGCCCAAATACAAAAAAAATCTGAATTTACCACACTTGGGATGAGCACGAAACATTTCATGCTGCAATTGTCACATTTACAGTTCATGTTTGCAAATAAAAAGTACTAGAAGCTTTCACTTCTTCAGAAAAGTCATGAAAATTGAATTAGACTTACTAGAAGAAAGTACACTCATTTTAACTGCTTTCATACAGATCTTCCAAAACAAACCTGAATTCAACACTGCTCAAACCAATTAAGGGAGTTACGTTATAGATTCCTCTGAGAATTTTGTCAGCACCACATGCAAACAGGCTACTGAAAGATATTCTGGATCTTCTGACACATTCTCTAAAATGCTGTCAGGGCAAGATTTTCAGTAAGCAGAGAAACACGGATGCCAAAACCAGTAGGCAATGAAGAACTAAGACAAAAGATAAATTGCTCAGCATCCAAACATTCAACATTTTGAAGTAGAAAGCCTTGCTCGCATCTACTGGTAATTTGCTTGTGGGATTTTGGAGGCCTTTCAAAAATTATTTATCCCAAATACAATCAAAACCTAATCAAGCAGAATAAGCAACATTAGCTTAGGATGTCCACAATCCTTAGGTTCTAAATATTTTCTACTATAAAATTTAGACCTACATATCTAACAAACATTTTGTAAAGACTATTGTAAATATTGCCAAGTGCTGCAATGTTCTCTCACCTCCTCTGAAAAGAATCTTACAGGCATCCATTGCCATGTTTTGTTCCCATTAGGAACCTGGGAACTGTGACTAGTTAAAAGTTGTAGTTGACTTCTAGGTCTCTCTTGGGTTTCCTGGGTTAGAGAGAGCATTCTAACTTCTTCCTTAACCCACTGTCCACTTTCAAAAAAATCTAGAGATAGACTTGTTTACTGCCAGTTCTTTCTCTTTGAAAAAAACAAATGGATCAAAAATAGAAACTGTAATTAAAGCCGAGGTGGAGCTTTTGAGGTTTTGTTTTTTGAAGCAGCAGCAGATTTTGGAAATACCCAACATATCTGTAAGAAATGGATATATTTCTAGTTTCAAGACCTACTATAACTTAAAGTTTCAACTTGCACGGCAAACAAATATATTTAGTCAGCTTCCAATGCAAAGTTTACCATGATTTTGTAAGACATTTCTGATTTTATTTAGTTAACACACCTACAACCACTTTTTAATTAAAAACAAATAGTTCCCCTTATTTGACTTCTCTACTTAACAGCGCTGCGTATAAGCCAGGTCATTGCTTCCCCATTTTAAGATCTGAACCTAAAGTTATATAAGAGACTTTAAAAGTAAATAATGCAGCTGTAAATTCTTACAAAAGAGTCAAGTTTACAAGAAACTTTTAGGAATCTGAAGCTTTTCTTTAAAAAAAAAAACGTTCAAACTGATTGCATTTAAAGCTGAAAATGCCATTTTAAGTGTGATCAGCCTACAGAAATTACCTTGAACAAATCTGACACAACGACTGAAGAGAAATTGCAGGCATGTAACTTAAGGCAGCATTGTAGCAGAGCAGAAGGAAAGTCAGCACTTCAAACCTGGGATTACAAGAAACATTAGAATTACATTACCAATTTTATTTTTTAGAAGAAAACAAGTTTACATAGACATTTGCAAGAGTTATGTGAACAGAGTTGGTATTTTGTTGCAATAAAATTGACAATTGAGTAGTTTGGTTCTTTCAGCATTTCCACTTCATGTAGTAATGTGTGCTGCTAGTCTTTCTGTATCTACATTTACATGTGTTTAAAAACAAAAAAAAACCCAAACACCATAAGAACACAGCACAGGCATATCCACCTTCAGTCTATAACTATATTAAAAATTATAAGAAGTTAAGATTCATTAGTGATTCCCAAGCAAAATCCCATTATAGAATTTCACCTGTTCTGTGCTGTTAACATCTCCCTCTGAGGATGAGGTCCACTGTATACAACCCTGGACAAGCCATGCTGCGACAAAGCTCCTTCAGTGAGAGCCATGGAGCCAATGCTGGAAGGCTAAAGGAAAGAGGGTCATTCAAAATATGTCCACCTGAAGCCTTGCTACATTGCACATGAAAACAGACAATGATCAGCATCACCGTACTTGTAGATAAATTTTCAACAGGCTTAAGGTTATCCAACTGCTTAGCTGTCTTAGATTTGAAGAGTTATTTTACACCAGATAAGGAATATGGCTTTAAAATAGAAAAATCCACCAACTATGTTGGTTTTGAGTTGGCATTATGATTAGTCATAATACTTGGAAGACTGAGAAATATGTTCCTATGTCATCATGCAACACGTTAAAACTACTTTTCACTTCTATTCTTAACAAATAGACCCCCAAAGCATACCATCTTTCTCAATCAGTAACAACTTTATGCTGTACATGTCACTTACCTCATGATAGACTGAAGGTTTGGACAAAGACGGAATTGTGAAACTCAGCACTTTGCTATGTCCCTCTTTGTCAACTATCTCCTGAAAAAGACAGAAGATACCAATGGTTATACTGTACTGCAGAAACCAGACATTCAAAAATGCTGAATGGATAAAGAAAGCCAGCAAATTATGATAGGGACAGACAGGGATACTATAACAATCCAGGCTACAAGCTAGAAATGATGCCTGTATTTACTTTCTATCACAGAGCATTTGTTTTGTTGCTGAAAACTATTCAAATGACTTAGCAAAGGGTCCGTGCCTTTGCATACATAGTCCACTTTATAAAAACACTAACCAGAAATCTCAATATGTTTAAACAGTTTTATCTTTTTTAATTATACACCATTTGCTAATTGTGAAGGTTAATGCTTAAATATGCTGTTCTGAAAACTATTTACCCATCAAGTAATGACTCTACCAGTATTTGTTTTGGAAATACCATAGCTCTGGAATGATTGCAGCCTCATACAGTTTGACAGAAGCAAACATCATAGTATTTGCAAAAGTCCAAGACTGACAATTCTATACATATAAAGAGAGTTGGATGCAAAGCTTTAGAGAAGCTACTTTCCAGCAAGATACCACCATAGCAGTACGTTGGCAGACTTCTCGCTCCTGTAAGTTAGTGGAAGACTAATGGGTAAGACACACAAAAAAAAAGTGCCCAAGTATCACAGAAGATAGCACTGAAATGCTTCAAATAAAAATCTTTAGAAGTTCCAAAGCAGACCTGATACCAAGAATTCAGCAACAAAAAAAATTAAAAGGATTCTTTCAGACATCAGTGCATTAACGCTTTCCAGGATACACAAAAAGAATAGAGACATTATTCACCAAAATAAAAGAATAAAGGTTCACGTTGCAGATTTCTGTGACAAGAACACCAATTTGAAGAGTCAAAACTGAGATAATCACTTCATTTCAATTCTGAAGCAAAATTGTTAATCATTCCCCAGTAAAACGCTCCACAGTATCCCCCAAGAGCACACTAATATTTTTTAGCCTGAAAAATTACATGGGAATACAAACCAAGTTATAAACTCCTAGGAGAAGAGCCTCTATGCATCCACTGCTCTGCAAATCTCTGCTGGCTGAGACAGCAAGATAGCACCACATCAATTCTGGTAGGAACTGCAGCGTAAATCGTAGCAATTGTTCCTCACCACTGCGATAGAACTCAAAGAGCTGATGGCAAACTGGCTCCAGAAGCTGAAATATAAATTAGTTGTGAATTAATAAAATGTTACAAGAAGCTGCAACTTTGTGTGGATCAAGTTACTTCTGAACCCAAAGGATCTTAGCAGGTTTTGGTTCTTTTTAAGTAGTAATTTGGGACAACCTGATCCATTCAAAAATAGAGGAACTTTTAGCTTCTGACTAAGAAGCTTCTCTTTGGAAAAAATCACCTGTGAAAAAATCTACAGCAAAGGAAAAAAAATCATGCCAAGCTAAACTAGTTGTCAGTTTTGAGAGCAGAATGTCCAAGATCCTTCTAGAAAACTTCACCAGCACAAGCGCTTTCCATCTTCACCTCACACATTTCACGCAATTTGCACGCTTCCCTTAATAAAATATCAGTTCTGAATGATGCGCTTTAACTTTAAAAGGCACATAAATAGCTATGACAGGTATCCACGTTCACATCGTTATCTCAGTTGAGAGAGCTTAAAATCAGCACATTTAAATGCGTAATCAGTACAAAAACAGATTTTCTTCCTCAAAATGCCACCACATGCTACAACTAATATCAAAATGCACTAATGATTGTTGCGGTTTCAAGATATTGTTTTACACTGAAACAGTTCTAAAAGGTATCTAGACTGAAACAATTTTTAATGCTGGAACAGAAGAACATCCAAGCAATTTCATCCCTCTTCTTTTTAAGCTGCATCCAAATGTGTTAGACACTCCAAACACTTTCTATTTCCTAATGCAAATGCCTGCAAGGCTACTATCTAAAAGGACAGCAATAGTGTTTTAGCAGGAAGCACGAAGTCTTGAGAATTTGTGAAGAAACATACCTCAATTTTTTAATTTTTTTTTTTTAAACTGTTGGACTCTTGAGTCAATTAAAAGTCCTTTAAATCTTCACATCTACTGAAGACTCTCCTTGTATTGAATTACATTTTTCACCTATCAGTGGCCCAGGAACCCCAAAAGTAACTAACAAAGTCTTTACTAGCACAGCTACTACAAATTGGATATTTCTTTGCTATAGCAAAGAAGTATTTCATTTATCTCACAAATTGATTATTAAATTTTTGGAAAAGCAAACCAAAAAAATTCCAAGTGTAAAGCAGATGTGAACCAGCAGGAAGATACAGTCACAGATGAAAATACACATGGTTCATTTCCAAGTGCTTTAAAAAAAGAACACATCCATCCCCCAAAACCAGATTAATCACAATTTTAAGGTACAGATAATTATTATATTAGAAGTACATATATTCAAAGGTATACAGATGGGGTTGTTTGTTTTTAATCTCAGGAGTATTTGTAATGTTCACGCATTAATCTTTCCCCTTTGCTTACGTATATGAGATAAGAAAGGACAGCACATATCCTACGCTGTAAAGCAAGCTGTCATTACAAAATGCAGCTAACAGATCTCAAAGAAGAGTTGAAAAAAAAAATTACTTGTTTTTTTGAACTGCTAGTTTATAAATATTTTCACAATATGGAAAGCTCCAGGTAGCCCTTTCCACAAAGTGACAGGTACTCCAAGAACAGTCTAAATAAAGACTTTAGGACTGTTCTCCCCAGGCAGCACAACACTCAGTGTCAGCACTGGCTTCTCAATTCAAGTCACAGTCTCACTGACAGGAAAATCGTTGATACTTTGCCCCCAGAATTATCCCAACAATCTTTTTGAGCAAAACTTGCAGGGCCTTGACCACCCTGCTACTAAGGTCTCTAAGAAACCTACTGATAGCCAGAAGTAGTGAGAAATCAAAGAATATATGAAAATATCAAATTGGCTATTAACAGAGAGACTCATCAGATTAATTTACATGTTGATACACATTCTGAAGACCAGACAGGCTTGACTCAGTAGTTTGAATGACTCAGAGTGCCTTTCTGAGCAGCAAATTAAATTTACATTTCTTCTTTGCTAGACAACCTGGGAGTTTCTCTACCAGCATTCTCTCTAAAAACTTGCACATTGAAAGCATTTTATCCTATGACCACTATTGGCATCATCTCAAACTTTGGAAAGGTTCCTTATACGGGGTCTTTTCAGAAGAGGAATTAAAGACTTGGTCCAATTTTGAAATAATAAACAAAGCTTTGCTGGATGATTGAAAGTGAGACAATTCAGCTAACAAAACACAACTAAAACCAGCTCAGTATGTTCTGAACCCACCTGGATGTTTTAAAACAAAGTGCAGTCATGAACCATTCCTGCAGCAGGTGCACAGCAGACCTGCCCCCTTGCCCCCATTTTTTTTTTTTCCTTCTTTTTTGGCAATCATTTCAGCAGGGGTACATCCACTGTCAAAGTGCCTATATTTATATTTGTACGCATTTAAAACAAGAACAAAACCCTCTAAAACTTAAGCAATAACTTAAAACATTATTCTCTTGTGTTGAAATAGACAAGATTCTGTTAGCTACAGATTCACATTCAAGTGATACTGACTGAATTACAGAAAGAATTCTGTCTCAAACATCTTTTCTATCCCTTAACATATTTTGCAATTCTATACTCAAGTCCTGAAGCCCAGGAGTATGACCTACAAGCTTAGCAATGATGAGTAGGTTACAAAACTTTTAATTGTTTCCATGGTAGTATGTCATTGCTAACAACAAACATTTTGACAAGAGACTCTTCATGTGGTTCTGTAGCTCACGTAGTCAGAACACAGTTAACTAGCACACAAGGTCTTATTTTACTCTGCTGGTGCTGTGTCAGCCATTTAATGCAAGAGATGTGATATACTCACTTCACTCTGTGGGTCCTGAATTACTTTGTAAAGAGATGAAATCAAAGCACTCTTATCTTTCAAGTTTGTAGCATAGCTGGATATGGATGCTTCTGGCAATGTCTGAAATAAAAATATTATATCTACTAGAAAAGCAATTTCTGTCATTAAAATACAACAGCTATTTGAACAACAGTTTTCCATCACACATTATTACTTATCAGAGTTTATAGTAAACTAAAACTTGTTTCACAAAGAAATTCTTAGTCCGGAAATCACCACATTTTCAGGACAACAAAAATGCCAGGACACATGCTGCATTTTATTATATTGCAGAGAGTTTCATACAGAATGTAATGGCAGTGGATGGGAAATAGATAAAAAAACCAAGACTTCAACCCTGGTGCAATCCTAATGAAATTTCAGTACTGCAAAACTTAGCAGTTTGCAGTCCCATACTTAAAATGGTTTTCTCAAGGCTGACTGTACACAGCTACTGAACTTCAATACAGGATATAGTATTTCTCTGAAAGAACACAAATTCTAGTTGATGTGAACAGCTCTTCTCTAACACTAAACAGATTTTCCACCAGTACTTAGGAGGATAAAAATTCTAAGCTTTTCAACAACCCTTTGGAAGCTGTATATTTAAACTTAGTATTCATAGCTCTTACAGCACTTCTTATCTGCAGTCCTTCAAAGGAGATCATATCCCATTACACAGAGAGGAAAACACATTTCCAGTGTATCTAAGCAGACCAGGAGCAAATCCTATAGTCAAGTCTAGTCCATACTCAAACCAACAAGACCATCTATCTGTGATATACGTTTTTACTGCTCTCTATCAGGAAGTATGTAATGCCAAAGAGGACAATAAAAAAAAAATCCTCTCAAGCAGGCATTTGCATATATCACATTATCTCTGCAAAATCCAAGGTTAATTTTTTTTCTTCATTTTCTGCAGCACTCCAGCACTCCTGCGTATTGCTCCAGCAGCAATTCAAACACTGCTGGCGAAACATCTGAGAGTGTATTACCTTGAACTCTGATAACCACTCCTCCACAACCCCAGTATCCACAGCTAACATCTTCCTACATCCGTTCGGAAACCTTGAGCCTGAAAGAAAAAGCAAACACAGTTTGTGAAAACTACGTAGTCACTGTGTTAAACAGATAATGGAAGTTAAATCCCTGTGAGTATTTAGAGAATCTTATCATGCTTTTACTTGTTAACATTTCACATGCTGACATTACTTTGAACTTTTATTCTACCTCACTTAGCAAGCTGCTGGAAGCATTAAGCATGAGAGTCTTCACATACAGCAGTTTAATAAATTCCAAATATGTATTGCGTGGGAAGCTCAATAAGTCAAAGATTTGCAGAAATGGCATTTTGAAAACAGAAAAATACTACCTTCTCAATTTCAATTTATTTTTCAGCTTACAGAACTTGAGAGAAAGCTGTACAGATTCGCTAAAGAGAAATGACTGTTTTGGCTTTTCCTAGTCAACTGCTAATTCTAACTCGGAAAAGGTCACTGAAAAAAAGACTGATGGAAAAACCTTTCAATCCTCCCCCACCGTGGCAACTGCAAGACAACAAGCCTGGTGCCTCAGCACGTAGCCTGGGATGGACTCCCCCGTCCGACATCCCGCACAATCTCAGAGCAAGATCATCAGGACTAAGACCTGAACACAAGAGATGCAGTGGCTTTACTCAAAGAGAAAGTGACAAAAATCTTTCAATCTGTTGGATTTGGTTGTGAGGAAATGACTACTCAAACACGCACAGCGAAAGCAATAAAATTGAACAGGCTGCCCAATAACTTTTTGAATCACTTTAATACAAAATAATAATGTAAGCAGCTAGAGATTTCTGCTCCCTCTCGCTAGCACTATCACTAAATAAATGACCTGGTCAGGTGAGACCATGGGGAATCAGGTAGGGCAATCTCTTACAACCCCAGAAAGATATGCAAGCCTGCACAAAGCATACAACAGATCCATCTGAGGATGAGAAGGGAACTAGGAAGGGCTAAGGAATTATACGCTGCACAGGGCTTTATTTAATTTTTGGAGAAAAAAGCAGTAGTAGATGTAAACACTTCAGAAGTACAATGCAGCAGCAGCTCCACTAAAAGGCTTCTCCTGGCAGGTAGAGGGTTGGGGCAGCTCCATGAGAAGGACACCAGCAACACCAGGGGAGGTAGATGACAACCCACAGCCAAGTGAAAGCAGAAGACCAAGTTGGCAAGCAAAGGGTACAGAGTGATGTGGGCAAGAGAGATCTCATAAACAAAAAACAGAGCTAACCAGGGCCCCACCTCAAACGGAAACAAATACATAAAGTGCTGCCCGCAGGACAGCAGGTTGAGGAAGCTCTAATAACTTTTCTAGCAAATAAGCATGACTGGGTGCCTCTGTGAAGTGTCCATACACCAACACACACACAGAATGGCAACCAAGCAGGAGGACGTGGTCTGTGTGCGAGTTCCAGGGCCACGATCTCAGTGGGATCACTGAGACACAGCTCACACAACCAGAATACTGCCATGTTCTTACCAGCAAGAGCAGCCCTCAGGAGTCCCAGGCCTCAATTTCCAGGCTCCAAGGGCTCTGACCAGTGGCACAAAGCCCAGCTGGAGACCTGGCCGTACTGGTGTATGCCAGGGGTCAATACCTGGGCCAGGAGAGTTGAACTTCTTCATTAACAAAGATGAGTGATGGGACAGAGCTCACCCTCAGCACCTTTGCAGGTATCACAACACCAAGAGGAGAGGTCAACAGCCCAGAGGGGTGGCTGCCATTCACAGGGACACCAACAGGCAGGAGACGTACAAATTAAAATACATTAAAAAGAGGTTTAAATGTAGTGTCATATCAGGGTTATTGAGCACTGTAACAGGTTGGCCAGGGCGGCTGAGGAGTCTCCATAGTTGAAGATATTCAAAACTCAGTTGGACAAGATCCTGAGAAACCTGTTCCAATTTTCACTACTTGGAGCAAAGGAGGTGGGACTTGATGATCTCCAAAGGTCCATTCAAACCTCATCCATTCCATCATCCTACATCAACAAAGAAATAGGTCGGATTGTCACAAAGGACACTCATCTAGCTAAATACCAACTTTTTCTGACCAACACCGGTAGTTTCTAAACGTACAATGATGACAATACGGATTGACCTCATCCATTCCATCATCCTACATCAACAAAGAAATAGGTCGGATTGTCACAAAGGACACTCATCTAGCTAAATACCAACTTTTTCTGACCAACACCGGTAGTTTCTAAACGTACAATGATGACAATATGGATTAGTGGCCTCTGAATGGTATCAGTTATGTGTCAAACACTGCTGTGAAGTGATGTTTTTAAAGATAATATTGCATGCTAACAAACATTAAGACTATTGCTATTATAATTATTGAAGCAACAACCTCATCAGTTCCTACAGAATCACACGATCTACTCACTCTACTTTTATTCCTGTGAAGGCAAAGGCTTTTGCAACATCTCATGCTTCAGCAGGGTTCATAGTACACCATTCCCTACAGAGCCCCATTAATAGCACAAACACCTGTGCTAATATTGACTGCTTAAAGCAATAAACCCATCATTTAAAAGTGTCCAGAGGAGTCGTGGATACTCCAGTTCATAGTTGACACCACATTTAATGAGGAGATGCATTTTTTTTTCCACCTATTGCTACTGATCCATCAAGCATTATTTTCATATTAAAGGCTCCCAGAGAATACAGAATTCATTTGACAAGTAAAAACAATAAGAGCATCCTTGGCTGGCACTATCCATTGGGCTAAGGACAATACTTCAAGCTTTTATGACTCTGTATTTGAAGGCAAGTTTGTCAGGGTTCTTTTTTGGCAGAAGCATGAACTTTTGAAATGAAATTTATAAAAAGCTGAACTAAAAGAAATAAGACAAAGGTTTTGCTATTCAGCCTTTGATTTTTAAAGTAGCAGAGGTATTCCATTGCCAGTTAAGACAGTTGAGATGCACAGAAGATAGACTATCCTTACTTTACCTTCATACATTAAAAATGCATATACGCTTCTGAATACACTGTTTAACCTCAAGCGCATATGCATCTGTAGCAATATGCATTTGAGCTCTAATTTTGTCATTATTTCCCTTGAAGATAAAGATAATGATTATCTGTTAGACTCATCTCTCCCTTCAAGGAAAGAGAGCCTCAATTCCCCAAATCAGGTGTGTGGGATCTATTAAAATGGGCAGACAACCTGCTGTTCTGCTGAGGATTGCCACATTTTGTTCTAGTTAAATAATAGATGAAGTTGAACTGCAACAACGTATGGACAGAGCCTGTAAAACCAAGAACTGTTCTAAATAAAGGATTAACAAATTTCAGTTAATGATACAACTTCATCTAAAGCCCATAGAAATTTCACAAAAAGTATCTCTAAAATGGAATTTTTAAAACAAAATAGGCCAAAATAAGGCCTAATTTATAGCATCTGTTAACCTTTTACAGAAAAAAAAAAAATCCCGAAAGGATTAAAAAAGCACGCCTTAATTACAAGTCCATTTGAGTGGATTCAACTGCAAGATAGAGCCCACTGTAAGCATTAGATGCCCCAGTCACTATAGAATTAAAGCAACATAAAGTGGATAAAGTAAACATGCTACTTTGAAGAAAAAAGAGAAAAGCTGTAAAATTATATTGAGAATGTACTTCATACATACCAAAACTGTAATGAAAATTCAAACAAGCAAGCACTACACAGTATTTCCCCTCAAAATGTCCTGTTTTACGCATGCAATTCCCTTTTAATAGACTTTTTTCCCTGGTCTCTTCTTCTTAAGTCCCTGCAAAGAGTTCAGATGAAAGAAGTTTGAGAATTTCTTTAAATCCAAGCTGCTTTTGTCCCCACAAATCAAACAATACTTTGACAAAAACTGATGAGCAGCTTCAAAGTCCCCATGCTCCTCATTCCAAGAGATTAAGAGACAGAACCATTTGGATGTCCCGATGAAAAACAGGACATTTTCTTGCAGGAAAGAGGTAGAAATCTCAAAGATCCAAATGATACCACAAAATTATCTGTGATCAGTAACAGTCACGTTGTCCCATCTTTTTAGATTTATTAGACACATTCTTAGCTTATATCACACATGAAGTAAAGCAACTTTAGGTGACATTCTTTCATTGCAGATCTTGTCACATCACTCCATATTTGCCACAGGAAGAAGGCATGCACAGCTACTGCAGGCCAGTTAACACACGGCAAATAAATTTGTGTTTATATCTTGTGAGTTAAAAGCACTTTGGAGTATTTTCCACAAGACTCTCAACATGGATTAACAGCAAGAAGTATGATTTATACTAAACAGTAATTTACGAACTAGCTTTCCTAGTAGAACATCTATTTAAAGTAAGCATACATAAGGCCATACAGCTCTTACTAATCTCTAACATTGGAACCCTAGGATATATGCAACCTGAGCTCTAATATCAACAAGAGAATAAGTCTAATTTACATTCCACTCAAAGTCTGCAATCCATTTTGATATAGCTTGAGGTAAGACTGTTCTCTGGATCTGTTCCCAAGTAATAAGCAGCCTCTAAGAGCTGTAAATTGATCTTGCTCTATTCTAATACTATAATAAAACTCTCCTTACATAGGAGGTATCAATTTTTGCTTTGTTTCAAGATGAGTAGTACAACTGGAATAAGATATTAAGCAAGTTTATCTGACAAAAGTGAGTCTTATTTGGAAAGACTTCTATAAAGTCTCTACAAAGAACATTCCTTTTTCTGTTACAGCTCAAATACAACAGGAACTTACCAAACACTGTTTTTAACAGATGGGGGAGAAAAAGTTGCTATGCACTGGGCTGGTGGTGAGCAAGCCAAGGTGAATTAAGATGCATTTTCTGACAAACTTACTAATGGATCCATCTACTTCAATGGCTTCAAGTATTCATACCTGTCACTCAAGACTTTTTCAATACAATAATATCAAATCATAGCCTTGAAATCACAGACAACACATGCACAGGCTGACCCTTAAAAAGAAATTCTGAAAATAGGTGGCTTTCCTGTTCTTTAAAGCTACCCAGCCTTTGTAGAATTCATCCACAGAATGCATGTGTGTAAATGAAATCTGGATTAATTACAAGGAGGCTGGACTTGGATGAAG